TCACCAAAAGTTTAAATTGCTTCCTGATGCTCTTTTTTTTAGTTAGTTGGGTTATTTTATTCAGTTTCCAGCCAGTTGTGAGCGAAATCAGTTACGTTTTTTACTCTAGAAACCTAGTTAACTCAAGAAGTCCCATCTTCTTTGAATAAGATATCATAAAACCTATTTTTCGTTGATGACAAACTGATTCTTGAATACGTAATAAGGTATAGGGATATAACTTTTGCTTGTTAGTTCAATTATTGATTAAAAGGATATTAGTGAGGTTGTGCTCATCTTCAGCGATTGTCATTCGTCGGGTATAGTTTTATTGCTTATCCATTTTTGTGATAATACAAGAAATGTTGTAAATGGAATTTTCGTCATTCTAAAGATTTTGGGGGATTCAGACAACGAGTTTTAAATAAGGCTTTGATTATTTAATGCTCATTTCTTCGAATATTCACAATATTCACCGGCTTATTGAAAAGCCTAAACATGAACTTGGTCAAATCATAGAATTTAAATGTTTATCAACACTACTTAAATAAACAGGTTGATTAAGTAAGCAATTATAAACGTCCTGCATTATCTCACTCTCATAATTTTGAGTGAAAAACTATTGAAAACGGTCTCATTGGTTCATTCGACTTTTTACTGTCAAAGAAGTAGTTCACTAACTCTTTATGCAAGAACAGTGTTTTACTTTATGTTCACAGCATAAATGACGTCAGTCAGAGGTTGAAAAATACTTGTTCAAAACATTTGTTAAGTGGAGATGAAATGCGTCCTGATAGGTAACTACTGACTGGTATTCTGTTAGAAACTAGTTTAAACTCGGTCACTGGTTCGATGTAACGCATAGAGTTGCTCTAGTCACTACTCATTGCTAATCTAATAAATGAAGGTAGAATAGATGAAAACTCAACTCTAAGTGTTATATCGTTTGATTCATTTAGGTTTTTTTTGATAAACTAAACAAGTTGTGGTTTGACGAAAGACTCAGAATAATTCGACATCAATAGGATTCGAATTATAACGCTTTGTAGCAAGCAACAAGGAAACAAGAATTATGTAGAACAATGTGCAATAATCATTAGAGGAAATTACTTTTCTTGTATAAAAATTCATTGAACAGTATTAACATATTGTTCCTTTATATAACTGAGAATCATGGATTCTATAGCATTTGTGCAAAATATTTCGAGAAATTTCGTTTTCAGTTGATGATCTGCTTTTTTTCTTATATTTCAGAGAATCTATCAAACTGCACTTTTTATGAGTTTATATTTTCAGAAGGGGTTTTGTGGAGATTGTAGTAATTTCAATCATTAAGATCATGAATCAGTTGAAGCTGAGGAGTCCCACAATAGGACGAAACGGCCGTCCAGTGCTTCCAGGTTTTCCATGGTGGTCCAGCTTCAACTGACTCACGATCTTAATGATTGAAATTACTATAATCTCCACAAAACCCCTTCTGATAATAATCAACATATGCTCTCTAGTAACTGGCTCCAAGAGGTATATTCTGGAGTTCTAGTGAGAAGTAGTGACCAGTGGAGTTCAACCAGGTCTGTTGTGGGATAGTAACTCACTGAAGACAATGGTGGATGTGTCGCTCAATTTCGTGGATTAGTTGAAGTTAGACATGAACACCGTTGGATGCCGGCTCAGTGGTCTAGTGGTTAAGTGCTCGCGCGCGATTAGTTTCCTACACATAATTTTAAAACTGATGGTGAAATTACAACTACAAACAGAAGCTTATGTTTTTGACAATTTATAATGGACTATCAAATGTGAAGAAGAGCTCTAAGGATACCCAATTTCTTCATATAGAAAATAAGAGTATGATACAGGTACTGTATCCCACCTAGTTTACAGCATGATTTACATATACATGACACAAAAGGATGAAATTGTCTGAATTCACTGTGGACTCGGATTTCACGAGAATTTTTTACAGACGCTTCATCTATCATGGACAATTACATTACTTATTCTATAGTAAGTTATATCTTTCTTTCTACGAACTAATTCTTTCTTCTTGTAATATGTCCTTATATGCAATCTTTCTTTTATATATTACCACCACTGAAATAATTGGTTCTATAGATCCGGTGTTCATCTTGTTGTGTTAATGAGGTATGGCAGCATGGACCGATGCATATATGTGCCTGGTCCTACGTTGTCAGTCAGTTGTTGTAGCTGACTGACTGACTGAAGTTATATTTGGTCTAATATTTCCTCCTGTTTGACTTTGTCCAAAATTTACTTATCTTCTTTCTCTGAATTTCGGTTAATACTCATCTTCTAATTCTCACGTAAATATCGTCAATATTCAGCCGCCTAACAGAAAGCTTTTTGAACTATCATATTACATACAATCTAGTCTCTGAAAATTGCGTCATTCGATTAATGTATTAATGATTATATTTAAATATTATAGTGATCCTATCCACCTTTATCTTAAAAACGTCTGGGTTTGTCTTCCTATATAAGACCCTTTTGATTGATATAGATTTTGACATTTGTTGCAACCCATATTTTATAAATGCTGAGGCACAACGAAAGCTAGTCAAAAAAATAATTTCCATTTCTGGCTTTCTAAATGTTCAAATAGGATTATTTGTTTCACTATATTTTACACACGAAAATAGAATATGTGTATACACTTCATTTTATAATCTGATATTTTCTTTATTTTTGCCTTATTCCGGAAAGGATCATTTTTTAGAAAATACATTTTGGGTAAAGTTGGTTTCACAGTGAAATACATGACTTATGAAATCTGTTTAGAAGTTAAACATTTTCATCTTCACTCGTCTACTTAATTTATCAATAAAATCTATTGTTAAAGTTTTATGAAAGACCCGTTTACATGCTCAAAAATCAAAATTAATGTGGTCTATTATGAGGCCATTCATTTGTTTGCCAATTGTGGGTTCAGTATTAGGTTCAGAGGTGAATTAAGATAGTTTTGATAGAAGACCTAGTTAAGTGCCTGTTTCACCCTGATTTACTTCTTTCTATTTTTGCAAGAAACCAGCCCAATTTGATTTCGTTTGCCAAATCAATCCTACTGACTGACATAAGATCTACAGTGCTTACATTGCGAACACTTATGATAAACAAAAACACAATGGAAGCAGACGATTAGCTATTTAATTTTTATCCAAATGAAAGAAGTTCTGTGTTGGATATTTGAAGATCTATAGAATGTAGATAATATAAATATCTGTATGTCTACGTTGAGCCCTAGGGTACTTAAGCACCTACTATTTCTAGTGTTTTAATTAATGCTATTCATACGGATGTTCTTACCAAGTTATATCAGCCATATGGCTTAATGCAAGGTGTTTATTACTAACTTACTAGTACGTTATTTATTTTACAGTGTGAATAGTAGAACCAGACTGAAACTGCTGTTAACATGACTATATTCCGGTTAAATAGTTAAATAGTGTAAAAAGAGAACCTTAAGGCGAAAAAACGTTCATCAGAATCATTGATTCACTGATTTATAAGGGGTCGATATGTTATGAATAATTCATCTAGGCTTATTTAGTTGAAAAACACTGAATGTTCAAATCACAAATTTCACTTCTACATCCTTTTGTTTAGGATGCTAAGTTAATTAGCTATAATATTCTTATTCCGATTTTTGGACACCTTTGATTTTCATTCATTTGACACTGATTTAACAAATGACAGTTATATTTATTAACTGATTATATATTCATACATAATTTGAAATCAGTTTAAATAATTACTCGACATGATAAATAAGGGTTATTGATGCAATCCAATATACTTGCTTAATATTTATATATTGAGAAAAGAATGGTTAAATAATCTATGCTTTTTTAATTAACACTTTAATTATCCTTTATTATGAAAGACCAATATAATTACATCGACTTTATTTCTAAAACGATTAACGATTAGATTAAAAATTCTTCCGCTCTTTGGTTGCAAGAATAATAAGCCAAATCTATAAACAAAACTCTCACAGTTTATGACAAATAAAACTTGCTATGACGTCTATTGATTAAGCACACACAAACTAGAAAATAATTTTTAAAAATCTTGATTTAATCGTTTTCAAGAGAATGAATAAATCGTCACCGTTTTCACGAATTAATCAATAATCGAAGGACCAGTTTCACATTCAATTGTGATTAAAGTTAGATATTGCCTTCATTTTTATAGGTAAGGCTAGTTTTTAATTTTAGTATTAAGTATACACGAAGTGACTACATTAAGCTGCCAAAAAGCCTATTTACAGAGTGACTTGTGAAGCTTTCTCAGTAAAACATTAAGCTCAAAAAGCAATCAGATTTCAAAAGCATTCATAACTTGCTCTGCAGACATATGCAATCACACGACTTTATGGATAATATGTAATTTTAGGTAACGTACACGTTATATTTCAGTAAGATCGACCTAAACATCGAATCTAAAGTCATGATAGCTTGTCTCCGTCCAGTAGAATGTCAAGTAATAAAGAATCAATTATTTATAAACGTAATTTCTTCACCATTGTGTTCCTTATGACCACTCCTATGAATGTACACATGTTTATATTTTTAAAACAACACTTTAATTTATATAGATGTTTATTTGATCAAACAATCATTACTGACTAAATAATTTCTTCATGTGACTGACATCAAACAAGCTGGAACAAATTTCCATAAATTCATATTAAATAAAAATGTGAACTAACAGAATATCCATATCTAAATAGAGATTAACTTTACAGTATGACGTTATGTCTTTTAATGTCAAGTGGTAGATCATAACTTTTACTGTGTAAAAATGATGTCCTTACACCTTGTCTCTAAAGTTTAGTGATATAATAAACGCTATTTTTGATTTTTTACACCTTGCCATAATAAATGAATTTCTAAACCATTCACTACTCACTAATAAACATTAATAAGACTAAACTGTGTTCATACTGTTTGGTATTCTATACCTTTCTAGTGTATTAAACAAAGAAATAAGTTTGTATGACTTACTTAGCTTTCCTTGTTGAATTTGCTGACACTTTTATTGGTCCGCCATCACCTTCCACATTTTTGCCATTTGTTATTTGATCCAAATCAGGTACAGACGTATTAAAATGAATTTTACCCATAATTATTCACAGAATAATAATCATGTATTATTGATATTTTTGTCAAAATATTTATTATTCGTTCAAACGATTAAAATTTTGACTTTCCTTCTTGTGAAGTACCCCTTATTGTTGAGAATGTTACCTCGATAAGTAGCTTTACGAGGTGTTTTACTCTAAAAAACAGACGGTCGAATTATACATGAATATATATATATATATACGCATAAAGTGTTCACGTGATTAAGAAGCTTAGTAATATGTTCACATTTTAGCAAGCGTACAAACACAAAGGCAGTTCATCCGAATCTGTTTATCTTACTACGATTTAGGGTCACTTTGAAATTTGATGACTACACAATAAGCACAAATCAACCAATGAGATTTTATAGTAGAAATGTTTTCAGCAAAATAATACGTAGAGATTATTTATAAAATATTTAACACAGAATCCTAACATTTTGAATAGAAACTGAATTGTTATAAAGGAGGAAGAATATATTTGTAAAATCTGAGTGATTGAATTTTTCAAGGAAAAAGCTTGGACCAGATTGCCAAGCGAAACGTTGGATTTACTTAAAATTCAATCGCGCAGACTTTACCAATATATTTTTCTTTCCTAATATCTTGCATTAAATCGACGTCCAAGTACTGTGAAATTATTCGTTCAAACTTAGACGAAAGTTCTTATATGAGTTGTCATAATTATACATAATTTGTGTTAGCACAAGTTCATAAGGCTTAATCTCAATTGTCCTTCGAGAAAATAGGTTTGCATATTACTGATTGTATTTAGCATAAGTTGTTGTCAGCTCCTTTTACCAGATTTAAATATTTTGATATTTCTATGTTTTGGGGCCTCAGCTTACAATCAACCAAAAAATGAAAGTGTCATTCGAAAGTTGTTTTCTTGGATTCTTTTAATGTGTTGATAACTCTTTACGTTTTCGATTAATAGTTAGTAAAATTAATATTTCCCTATCAAAAAATATCCAATGTTTCTCAGCAGAGATGGATGGTGGCTAGCAGTGGAATCCAGGAGGCGCGTTCTGTCCTGTCCGGGACTCGTCAGTTGTGTGTACCTGCATCCCAGAGTTGATATTCACTCCAGGACGTGAACCCAGTACCGTTCGCGTCAAATGCTATTGTGCTATCTACTTAGCTACCGATTCCAGATAGCCATTGGCTAGTGCAAACAGAACATGCCAAAAAAAGTTGATTAATAACAGTCTTAAACATCAATGTAAGATTCAAACAAATAATACAAAAGAATTGTACTTAATGTTTGCTACAGGATATTTTGGTAATATTCCCGATTGTTTTCAAAATCCTTCAGGGAGTCTACGAATAATCTCAAAGATTATGAAGTATTTAGCGCTTAGAAATGATATTTTAGCTAATTAAATCATTGAGGAAAACACCAATACATTTTCTGGGATTTTTGAAAAAATAATAAGCACAATATTCATATGCGTATTAAATGATTCTCAATAAAGGTTTTGGATAAATCTGACTACAGGCTGATGAGCACGGAAATGCCAGATAATTACAGTGGATCCCTAAAGTTAGCATGTCTGCATGTATAGAATCCCATGTTAAACATCTTCAAAAATACAATTGGTTTTGGTGTAAACTTGATGTGTAATTAATTCTCTTACACTGAGAACCATTTCATTAATAGTCACTCAGTAGGTAAATTTATGAAAATTTCAGAGTTACTAAATTTTTCAGTGAGATAGATGAATTCAGGAAGATAAATAATGTCCAAGATGAAGAATGATGACACCCTGATTAGTAAAGAAATTATGGATAGTGAAAAAAAGTGGAAATAGAAACAGGTAGCAGATACTGTTTTATCTTTGAATTCTCTTTTGAGATCTGAGACATCTGTCAAACATATGCGTTTTTCTTATTCAAACAATCACTTTTAGATTAGTGTTAAACAACTGAAAGTATACTGCAGAGTTTAGAGTCATTGCTCATTATTATGAGGTGGGATCATTGTAAATTTATTCTTTGATTGGAAATAACTATTGGTTGTGGGATCACTTCAGGAAAATTTGTGTTTTTTTGTCGTTATATTATGTTTACTGAGTTTTAGATGTTTTATGCTCTGACCCCTATAATTATCAATTGATTAGGTTCTTCGATTTTTGTAAGTCTAAAAGCCTCGTTAAGAGAAGCTCCATTTCTCTTCCTGTTTTGTTTGCTGACATATAAATAATTTCACATGGCCACGTGCATAGAGCCACTGCCAAAGAGGTCCTAATCATTGCCTTCTCGCACCACGGGTGTTGTTTACGAAATTCAGAGGACGAAAAGCGAATGTACGGCGCTTTAACCGGGTTGGTGGTCATGGAGAGTCCACCTAGGTGGATTAGGAAACCCTGATTCCAAACCAATGTTGCACATGGGATCCAGTATCCTGAAGGAACAAAAGGCGTATGAACCTATTTTGGGTCACCGACTACACGGAACTGCATCTCCTTGCGTTGCTCCGTTGCCTTGTGGATCACACTTTAGGTAGAGGGCTCCAGGTGTGGCCTCCTATTACGGTTTGAGCACTCGGGCAGTATCCCGGCCCTCACACGAATCGAATGATTTATGTGGTGCATATCTATTTAGTGCTTCCTTGTACCAATGCTTATGTTTTCAAATAAATAAATAAATATGAATAATTAAATAAAATAATATGCCTTCAGTCTAGTGCTTTCAGTCATTAAATTAGCCTAAAATCATCTCTTATCTTACAAAACACGCATTATTTGAAAGTTTTCAAAAGTTATCTTACTTTGTAAACTGCATTCAATTTTGAAATGGCTTCAAACCTCAAATTATGTCATCTCTTAGTTAATACTCAGATGAACTTACATTCTAAAGCTATCGAACTTCATTTTATCGAGTGTTGTATGTCACCATTCGAAATGATTCATTCAACTCTGCTATTCTGTTTCACAATGAATTACATGTAAGTAATATATTTTTTAATCAAGTGGAACTTACAATTATGTTTGGTCGAGTAATATTTTTCATCAGGAACTGACTAGGTAAATATGGAAGTCTCCAAATCTTTACACAACAAAACAAAACACTTGAAACATTGAGTTGGTGCAGATAACTTTGGTTAAAATAACTAAGATTCAAAAACGTGGTCATCATTAACTGTACTCAATACTGTAATTATATTATGTTACCTTTAAGCAAAATACATCCCTTGTAATGTTATATTGTTATGACTTGTAACTCAGTAACCAGTCCAAAAGTGTGTTCTAAAATCTAAACTTTCATGATTGTTGACGAAGTTTACTAACAAACTATTTTACTCAATGAAAAACTAGTGAAATATGAAATAAATTCCCATGCCTAGTTAGTCCATATAGTAGCTGAAGTGATTAACATATAAATATTTTGAAAAATGTTTACATTAGCAAATGGCTAGTCAACGTTTAGAATTTCCCTTTCATTACTATTTTTGCCTGATATTATAAAAGACTTCATTCAGATTGGCAAGTCTGTAAGTCATTTTTCAATTATGCTAAGAATATGAGTCAATAAGGCTAATCTAAAGAAGAAGTATAATATAATCATTCATCAAAGTAAAAATGAAATAAACAAGACATTCGGTATGTAAATAAAATCGGTTTTATAGTTCCGTGTTTATTGCTTTCTAAAATGTATTGATTATAAAAGAACGAGAAATTTGTAAAGCTGAAATGAAATCAGTGGATAGATATTCATCAGTGGGATTCCTAAAATATTTTCATCTAGACCATAGTTTATCAATCTTCATCACTTCTTATATTTTGTGCTGTGACCACTTTTTCATTATCTTCAGCATCAAGGAAAACTCGGATAATCAACTAGATCGTTACCCTCAGGCTTTTGATTCAAAGATGTTATGGATAATTGTGTTTTACAATTAAAACAAAGAATAGTAAAGATTTTTGTGATTTAAGTGATACCTACAAGGTTTTATTATCAAGTTTAACTAATAAATAAAATCAAAACACGGTCTGATTGGAAAACATTGCAATATGAAAATGGTCGATTTCAGTTTTTTATTCATTATATCTTATTTGTTCACGTGAAGTTGAGCTTAAGTGGCTACTTTTCTAGTTATTAAACACTGATTAGACGTATAATAATCTTATTTACAGTCCGTTTAGAATATTACTTGGCTTCTATATCAATCATCAGTTGTCCATTTGTATTCAGTTCATCATAGATTGATAGAAAGACTTACAGTAATATTATAAACTCATTAAATTGGTCATTCATCAGTGAGTATATTCATATAGTTGATATCTAAAATGTAAAGAGGTAAATTAACTAAAGAAACTCTTAATTTAAAATGTGATTCACTACTAAAACGGTGTTCCATTAGTCTTGCTACTCAAGAAAACTACTTGATATTCTTCATCTTACTATAATCAAAATTCCATGATAATATGAAATGTAGTATTGAAAGTTTAAGGGTGGAGCGATAACAATAAGTTTTAAAATGTGTACAATTAGTAATATGTGTCTATTAGTAGATTATTAAGACAACTTAACAACAGTATCAAGTGAGCATAAGATTTATTCTCAGTTGCGTTTGCCATTTTCAAGACTAAACAAAATAGTTTTTTTAAGAATGAAATAAGTTCGTATTTATTCATAGGCTAATGGAACATTTTAATCAAAATGAATTAATTTTTAATAGTTGAATTTATCAGTCATTTAAAGCTAGACCACCATGGAAAACCTGGAAGAACTGAATGGTCGACTCATCCTGGCACGGGACTCCTCAGCAGTGCGCATCCACGACCCCCCACGTGGGGCTCGAACCCTGGACCCTCGGTCTCGCAGGCGAACGCTTAACCTCTAGACCACTGAGCCGGCATTCAACGGTGTTATCGTTTAACCCCAACCAATCCACAATATTGTGCAATTAATTAGGTATACTGAGGATGAAGATTCTTATACATTGGCTATAATAATCACTTTGATATCTAAACAGAGTGTGAAAACATGAAATATATCTAGGTGCGTCGTAATATGGACAGATGCTTGGTAAATTCATACCTTAAATGTTTAGATATTGAAAATCATGGTGCAAACTACACTCTGATTACCATCATGTCAGTAACTAAAGGTGCATCTTTATTGTAGTACGTAGAGTAACCTGTATATATACGTACAGAGCATACATTAATAATTACACTAAGAGAAACTGTCTGTAACCAGTTCACTCAAAAATAGTTTGTTAAGTTCCGTAAGTTATTTTAGTAGACTGAGTCCAACACAAATGATAGCTGATAACTGCAAATATTCTTAACTAAGGAATTCAGTGAGAACTACTCGATATTATAGAAGATATTTGTATTAGGCATGTGACACAAAGTACCAATTATGTCGAAAACAAAACTTGTATTCAATATCATTATAAAATAAAGCTAACACATGTAAAGAATTACTTACAATTTTTAAATTTGTGATGTCACATACGCACTGTAATTATTGTTCTCAAGACATTATGAAGTTTTAGTGACTTCACAAAAACTGTCTTCCAATTAGGCACAATAATTTTACTTCCAGCCCCAATCCTTTGGAATGATATTACTGGACGCAAAAGACGATGGGAAGGAATTTATTTTGTTTAAAAAAGTTGAAAATAAAACCAAGTATAAGCGGTTCGGTACTGACCATAGGTTGATCTAACCAGATCACTTCAGTCAATTTCAAAACATAACACTAAATGATGTTATTAGAATTAGTCTTTTCTAAACAATATTGTGTAACGAAGGCGGGGATTTACAAAGTGACAAATTTAAATAAATGAGCAGTCAATGAAGTATTTATGTGACATCATTCTTCAAATATTGAGCAACAATAGATCATTAGTTAGTATTTATCATGTGACATTTGCTACTAAAACATTTTAACTAGAAGGATAATAATTTTTTAATGCCTCGTGATTTTACATGTTTATCCAACTGGTAATAACAATTACTTTTCTACCATCCGATGTAAATTATTGACGTGGTAGTAGTTGAAAATTTTATGAAATTAATATTTGTAATTGTTTTATCGAGTGTATTTTAGAGCAGTAATCGATTTCATTATAAGCGAAGATAAATAATGGCTAGCAGTGGAATCCAGGACGTGCGTTTCGTCCCATTTAGGATCCGTCATCTGAATGTATCTGCATCCCAGAGTTGATGTTCACTCCAGGACTCAAATCCAGTACCATTCGCTTCAAACGCCTTCGCATTTCGTTATACTTATTATTTGTATGATACAAACCATTAAGAAATACTACAAATTACGGAACTGTTTGATGGAATTGTTTTAACCAGTAGTTACAACAAAATAGCTTTCAAAGAGTAATATAATTAATCCTTTTGTTCGGGATAGCACTCATTATGTTAACTCATAGAAAAATCTAGATTATATAGAGATGAACAGTTCTAATGTATAGCCAAAGTACATTTGTATTTCCCAAAACTGATTCATTAAATTCGGAATTACAATTGTCGAATATATGGTAGTAAAATTCATTTAAAAATTATTTGACTAGCAGTAATTATTTCCATAAACTTTGAATGAATCGTTATCAAAAGCAATAATCATTTGTTTCATAAAACAAACATGACGAATTCCATTCAGTAAAATACAAAGAACTGGTCTATAAATGCAAAAGTTGAAAAGCCTATATATGGTTAAAAATGAACTTGTGGATTAGTCGGGTTATTAAAACCTGCATTTCAATATTTTACGGTGAAAACAACACTATTTAGCAACTGGGACAAACTCTGAGTTAGAAATGTCACTTAACTAAGTCCAGTAATTAATTTGTATTGAGTGACTGATTGAGCAGGTACTTCAACCTTGTCGAATGTCTTAGAGTTGAAAAACCCTAGCTATCAGAATAGAAGTTTTATATCTTAAATCGTTCACTCAGTAAATCGGTTATTAAATAAATTTACTTGTGCGTTAGTGATATCTATCTAGTTAACTTGTAATATGGATAGGAGGCTGGTAAATGGGTCTGTCAATTTCAAAGGTAGGATTTGATTAGAATCAGGAACAACTGATTAATAGACTTGACTATTTATAATTCACATTTTCGAATGGAATTAATCGTGAAATCACGAATAAGTTGAAATTAGTCAAAGACACGTTTGTTGGCAAGAAATAAATTTAATGAATAACCCTTCTAAAGCCTAAAAAATCGAATAGTGAAATCACAAGATTGATTTTGTGATGTATGCCTGGCAAAATTTGATTGAATATTTTAAATTAAACACTATAATATATATCAAGTCGCTTACATGATAATTTATTGATTAGTCAACAAACAGATCAGTTGGAAACGTATTAAATTACCTGCAACTAAGTTTAAAATTATTTTAGTAGTTCATATTACTCATATCCTAAAATTACTGAAAAACTTAGGAACCAATAAATGAGAATTTCTGAAAACGAACATTTGTTGCTAGGTTACTGCAACTTATTAGAGTTCTCTTAGATATTTCTAGCATTAATCAGAGTACTTTTATAACAGAATCTTAGTCATTACCCATAAAATATCTTAGTTTAAAATTTATAAGGGAATAAACTTCCATTCAGTTACACATTCATGTATCTCATCGAAACGCCGGAAATACGGTTTGAGGATGTTGAAGTGACAGATTTTAAGCGCAATATTTTCACGATAATGAATGCGTTCTTTTTCCGTTTTTCTTGTTTTGTGAAAAAGTTTATTGTCCGAACACTTATAGTTCAGTCACTCCACTAATAATAGTAATGGGTTTATAATTTAATAGTTACTTACTTACGCCTTTTACTCCTCGTGGAGTAGAATAGGTCACCCACCAACATACTACATTCAACTCTGTCTTGGGCAATCCTTTCAACTTGTTTTCAGTTGCTAGTCATTCATCTGTTCTTGAATCTCAGTGATTGTCTTGCTTTCTTTGTCCTTGACCAGTCTCTCTGGTTTACCATATTTTACTTCCAGTTTCTTCATTATATCACTGATGCAAATATGATCGACCTGGTTCTGTGTAGCATAATCCAGTGAGACTCGTGCAGCTTTTTGTATGCGCTTGAGGAGGAATATTGTTGAATGCACATAAATTTGCAAATGTCACCGTTCTTGTTGCTTTCTCTCAGTCCATGTCGTCACATGATATCTTCATGTCCGGTGTTGTCCATTCCAACCATGCAGTTTAGGTGTTCCATCAGGATGATCAGGTCCTTTCCTGGATAGTTCGCAATGATCAATCACAGCACCTCGTAAAACTGATCTTGATTGTGGTTGTTACTTTCATTGGCGGGTTAATTTCCGTAACTATTTGATTAGTCCTGCCGGTCTCTCACATTGTCCGGACATTCCATGTACCTACACTAATTGTTGATCAGTATCATAACTTTCGAAGAATCTCAGCTTTCACCATGAGGCATCATATTTCTTCCTTCAACTCGGAGGGGGGGGGCAGAGTTTAAATGGTGTAATTTGTTTATTCTGGTTAGCTTTTTTCTAGCAAGTTTGTTTTCTACTGGATGGGGTTGCTGACCCCATGCTCAACCCTCCTCCTTTACCCGGGCTTGGGACTAGCAGCAACACTAGAAAAGCTACAGACAGATCCAGTATTGAGACATGATGAAGTTTATATAAACACTGTCATTCAAGAAGACTGTTGAGAAGGTTGAACTATATCAAAGTAACTCTTCGTTCACCAGCTAGTAGTCAAGATTAACAAAATTGAATCTAGCTTTGATGGATTGAAAAATATGTAGAAATATTAGGTACATCATAATTTTTCTTTTCTAAGTAATTGTAAATATTATAAAAAGAGGACAGGACACGTGTCCGTAATGCGTTTGCTTTTCGATGTTTAATGTATGTGAGATCTAACATTCTTCTGTTCATTTATTGAGTGATTGCTACACACAGGAGAATAATTTCTCACTGGATATTTCAGTTCAGCCTCTAACTTTCATTTTATTTGTTTTTTGTCACTTAGTAAGTTGGGAAGCTCTATAGTAACGTGTTCACAAAAGAAATATGTAGAAGATTTAGATGTAAATTAAGCTATATGAACGGAAAAGTGTTCAAGAGTGCTAAACATTGCACTTTTATTGAACACTAAAAAGGATGATTATGCTAACATTATAAAAGGTATTTCAGAGAGTGATGTGCAGTAGTGGGAGTAAAACGTGACTGGTTACTGGGGGACAATTGGGCGCTTTGCCCCAAAATGAATTGATACAGTCGAGAGTGAGGAGTGTCCGCCCTCCTTCTCGAAATGCTCTCACACGGACTCGCGTATTCAGCCTTTGTCAGGGAAGTCATACTCACTGCCTATATATATATATAACACTGACCCTTGGGAAATTAATCCACTTCTTATCCAATCATATACACGTGACCTTCGGGTCACTTCTAAATACCATCGCTTGACCTTCTCATTTGAATACTTCTGATTGGCTTACTATGTATCATCCATAGATCTTTAGAAATAGCTGTAGATCAGCATGCTCAGTGATTGAATGCCAGATGTACACAGAGCTACGTATGTCTGGTTTTTTGAGAGGTCACTGATACATAATATTAAGTGCCATCAGTTGTATTGCATTCTAATGTCAGTTTTACTAATTGACTGTCTTTAAGATTTTAATACCCATAGTCACAAACTGTCATTTAATCCTTACACGTGATTTAAACAGTGATTGCTTTTCATGGTCAATAAACTCCAATCACAGACTACAACATAAAAAAATGTTCACTTCTCAACACTAAGTAATAAATAATTAGCTTGAGATTACTAGATTTACGCTCACTCTCCTGTAGAGTTGTGTTTCAAGTGGTGGTTGTAATTTTCTGGGTAGGAATCGCTTGATATGGAAAACACACTAATGGAAACATTGTAAATTGATCGTGCATATTATCATTACGTTGTTCCTTTGTACTATTTAAACTTGGATTAATTTTGATTTGGTTATTCATTCTCTGAAAAAGTGGCTTACCCTGAGTCACGAAACGTCAGAAAATTTAATTTTTCGACTCAATGGGATATTACATATATATTAATTTATACAAAATTCGAGTTTATTGTTATCATATTGTGAATATCTTTCGAGCATCTATGATGCATTGGTTTATTGATTAGGCTGAAGGCAATAATATGTGATTATACGACAGTATACTGATAATGGTTGGTAATGCGACCCGCAAAGTCCTCAAATAAATATAACTATAATTCAGAGTAGGCGAAAATTGCTGGTGAAATTAAAATGCAGAAAGACGTTAATAAAGAAATAATCGAGTTGTTAAACTGACCTAGAAATTACGGATATAATTTCTGGTATAAGAAGTATTTGGTATTACAGGATTTTATTATGATGCGAAAGCAGTTGCATGGTCACTTACCATAAATCTAATTGGTGAATTTGATAGAAATTAAGATCAACGATTGACCTCAAACTTATGATCGAAATAATAATCAACCAATAAACCATAAATCCATGAGGAACGTAGACCAATTTAGACAATAATCCTATATGGTCATTGATTTTAGTTAATGGCTGTCAACTACTTCACTAAACATCCGTAAATGACCATCTTACTGAACAGACTATGAAGTCAGATAGGTGTATTTTAAAAAGTGAAAACGAAAAATTAGACAGAATCAATTATTTAGAACATGAATGGATCCAATATTAGTCAAAGATTTTCAATTTATCATCAAAAGGAAAATTAAACTGCTTCATTGACGGCTTTGAAAAGTGCCAGGGAGACAGGAAAACGTGATATCTTCTAATGACTTATAAGAACAGATAGAACTAAATATAATCAACGATTCAAAAGGTTTAAGTCCTCATCTCTAAAGGCGAAAGAACCCTGTCTTAAATTATAGTTCCCACTTCATTTAAATGGCAAATTTTAATGTCATATTATGATCAGAAGCTTCATAGGTGGTGAAAAACGACTCAATAGGGAGGTAGTCCAATCCTCAATGGCAAGCTTTAATGGTTCAACTCCGTTTAGTGAAAGCTATATAACTTGTAGTGTTGAAAATTTAGATTTTAAGTACATAAGAAATATTAGCTAAGTGCAACCAAGGATGAATCATATATCAAAATATTCCTATCCCTTTTTTGTCGTAGAACGACTTTAAATAATTAAAATAACCCATTTTGTCACTGAATAAAAATTCAGCGGAGCAAATTTCTTACCGACGAAATCGTTTACTTAAGCTGTACGTTTGTACTTATAGCTATATGGTAAATAAATGTCTATAGAAGGATAGAAAAGATTACATCATAAAATGAGTCGAGACTCCAATTATCAAATGGGTTACGTGATAATGGAGGGGTTAGATAAGAGTAGAAGGATGAAAATCATTTACGGGTCAAATTATGGAAGATAATTGTCCGCTCGACAGTTATGAAGAAAAATTTAAAACATAAACGTCATAATAATAACTACCGTACTGAACTAGTAAGTGTCTTGTATTCTCCTTTTAAAAGCCACGCCGGGTAATGTTCTGAAATGCGTTTGGAAAGTGATGGCTTTGTGCGACCAATTTAACCTCCCCGCAGTAAATAAATTTATAGATGCACATTGATGTGGCCCAAAGTGGAAGTTTATCCTTAACATATCCGTGAACGTTTTGAGAAGACAATGTGGAGCTTAGCTCAGTAAAGTATTTATTCGAGGATTTGGAAATCCATTTATTCAATATTTCAGTAGCCGTATCTCCTTTAAACTCGATATTCATCAAGTTTTCTTTTAGACTGTTCGTGCTTTTTCGGGATGTTGTCTAGGTGTTAGGTTCCTATCGATGAATCTAGGTGGATAATCATTTCAATATGAACGTTTGCCTTGTTTTCTTGTTTTATGATAATCTAGATGTGATTTATGTGACACTATTATGAAAATAAATCAAATGTCGTCAAACAGTTAGAGATTTCATTTGGAGATAGAGACGACCTACTTTTCCAAAAGTTGACCGTATTTCGAAACGTTCCTTCTGCTATCTTATACTACATGATCAGGAGTACACGACATTGTTTTCGGAATCCTCGTGGATTTGAGTACGAATTTCGTTTTAGAAAGTAGGGTTGAGAAGTCGCCTGATTAATACTTATTATAGATATTCACGGTTGAATTGCTGTATGACTAACCATTAGTTTATGTTTAATTGATTCATATCTGATTAGTATACGTATATCGTTCTTCTTCTCGGTTTAACAAGGTCAACATTCACGTAATGTTGACTAGCAAGTTTAGATACTTTTATAAAAAGTATCAACCCAGTAAACCGCGTGACAAAAGCATAGAAGTTGAAATAACTAGCTCCCATTGATGATTTGTGGATCATATTTATCACGTACTCAAACTAGTCTAACAGAGGACATCTACGAGTCATTTAGAAGCTGAAACAAGCTAGCAATGTTTTTTTTATCTAATATGACTCTGATAACTTTTTAAGACCGAAATAAAAATAGTATTCATTTTAGTTTAATTTAAAGTACTATAGATAAAAATACTAAATGTCATGAAATTCTAGTATTGAAATGAATTAATGCTGCATCTTACTGATCAGTTATCGAACACAACATTATAATTACTAACTGATATCTGATCTTCTCGAAGGTCGCAATGTAAATTAAGTTGAAATTGAAATATATGCATATTAGTTTGCCAAATGTTTGTTGAGTACGTGGTTTTCTATCAAATGAAACGTTTCACTATAATATGGAAATTATTTATTCAATATTGAGTAGCAAATTGTTTCTAAATTAAAAAAACACATCAAAAGATGCTAATTTTATTTATGAACAAAATCCAACCATAAAGATTATTGAAAGCAGTCGACATAACTTGTCAAATTAAGTCATTCTGTAAAATGAACTTACATTTCGTATCGAATTCTAACATAAAAATCAAACCTAGGGAATAGATATATGGTAATTTATAAATTCTAACGAGTAGAAGTATCTATACTATAAAGAAATGAAGGAAAATATCATTCATGAAGCGGAAATTAGTTATTCAGGATTTTCATCAAAACAAAGTGATCGGTGTTACTTTACTTGTTTGATTTTTTTGTGGTTCGTCTCGGATTGTTGTTGTGCGGATGATGGGCCTCATGAAACCTCGTTTTGAGAAACATACTACTATAGTTTGTTAGTAATAAGAAAGTGTTTTCGTAATAATAATCATTTAGTGACGAATAATACTTCCAAACGAAATGATTTGTTTAATCCTATTTAGAGTGAGCACTGAAATATCCGAAGACTAATAATGTGGGTTCCCCGGTTAAATTACAATTTCATTGTATTCAATTATACTAGCCACATTTTTTTTTGTAAAAGCAATTTGTAAATTAATATCAGAAGGGATTTTGTGGAGATTGTAGTAATTTCAATGGTTAAGATCATGAGTCAGTTGTGAATTAGCTTTTGCGCTAACAATTATATTGCTGTTTTAAATAAATCATAACCAATGGGAGACAACAGGTAATCATATAAACGGAAAAGTTACGAATACATTTAGCTAGTTTCGATGGTATGTTGGAAAGTAATCCTGATTAGGTGACATACAATATATAAATTCCAAAATTGTTAGTTAATTCAGCTGATCAAAAGACTAATAACCAGTAAACGGAATGAAAATTACGCAAAACTTAATTAACGTTTTTACGATCTTTGAAGTTATGAGTTTGATTGTGTAGAACGAGCCAGTGCAAGTGTAAACGTTTTGACGGTATTAGCAAAATATCATTGGAAGTCTATTTCCAAAACATTTTATCCGATGAACGGATAGACTGTGGCATAACATGGATCACTTTTATTATAAATGGATGAAAAGCAGAGGTTCCCTTAATACGGCCTTAACCAAAAGCATAAACTGTTGATCATAGAGCTAAGAAATGAGTCGAAATGTTCATCATACGAACTTAACTGAAAAAGCATGTACAAAAAAAACAAAAACTTAAGAGACGTTGACCATCAAGGTTTAAATTGCTATCTAGATTTCCTCCTGCTGAGTTACCTCATCAATTAGTTACTAACATCACACGAGATGCTGTAGAACAGTGTAGAAACGTTGGAATTCTCGATGGAATTAAGACGAAGTGACTTTTTGTTATATACTCATAACGTGAACTGATTTAATGTTGCAAACAAACTAACATTTCTAAATTATGGAGATCTGTCGCTCAGGTGAATTTTAATGGTATTATCAAGTTCTCTGACCTAAATGACTTATTTGCGGAGTCCTCACTGTCACTCTAGACAACATGATCAATGCTTGCTTTATATAGAATTATGAAGATCAATGTTGTTCAGAGCGATGGATAAGAAAATACAAAGTACTCGTCAAATCATTACGCAAGAACATAACAAGTAAGGGTTATGATCTCATCTTAAACCCGCTTCAACAAATTCCAAACGTTTAAATGAAATACAGAATTCGATTTCCATTTATTATTTATAGCTTACCTAATGATGATAATTCTTTTAATGTTATCATTCCAAAGAATATTAATAACAGTGATATGCAATGATAAGCTAAGTGGGCATCGGTAGAACATTCCTTATGAAATAACTTCACATTTATTGTTATACAGCTAGCTGATAACCTTGACCTAGACTAATTTCGACGTAAAGTAAGGGCTTCTAAAATAGCATTATACGTTTATTATAAACGCAGTTTAAAATGAATTACACACACCTTAGTCAATGCGCAATATATTTCAAATGGATCTCATATAGTATATATACATGCATATATATAATCAAGATAAGTTTGTATTAGAAAACTCTGGGAAAATAACTGGTTTCATATTAGTAATAATTGTTAATTGGACATTTAAACGATCATTCAATTTTGATTCCTCATCATTGCATTGATTGGACTCGGTCAAATCAAGTTTATTCAACAATAGCTTCATAGACTTGGCAATAATAGGTAAATTAGGTAAGGAAAGTTGCAATTTATTCCAATACCACTTTCGCATAGTCCATGCACGTAAAACCTGGGAACTGAAATAAAACATAACGAACAATAAAACCAGTTGTTAGAAAAAATCCACTTTAAAATGTATTTCATGTTTTTAGATGGAGAATAAGTCTTCAAACTATTAACGTATAGCTCGAATTCCAAGCATTGTAACAGATCTCATTATCACTTTAAGTACCCCGATAAGCATAATGAATGGTAACTTTTGGGATCCATTTATGGACCAGCACTATGCGTATATTTGTACCGTATGATTGTTAAATAACTAAACTCTTCATATTCATGTCCCTTTTATTATGAGCCTTATTTTGACTTATGAACTATCATTATGCGATTTACCAATCTTGAATTACGCCCTGTCCATTAATTACTACCTCCTACATTTACAGCCACATTTGGTCAAATCTTGCATAAGTGTTGTTTTCTATTTTATTAGTACGATGTGGTCTGTCTGGTTGGTATATAAACCGAGTATGTTTGACATAAATTATTCATATTGTAGAGGCTGATATTGGTGTTCCGGACTTGACTGGCTGGGCTAGGCAGAAAGCAGGACCGATAAGTACTCTAGACTGCTTGTACGGGTTTTATGTGTCATTGGTCCGATCGATAATTGACTGCGGTATCATTACATTATACATCAACAGAGCACACAGGCCGCAACTTATAACACCTAATTTCAGTAATCCTTTAATATCACTAGACTTCGCTGAAAATGCCGCTTGGATTCGAGAATCTGAAGATGATTATTGAATTACGACTAAAATTACTTGCTAGATATCACTGATACTTTATTACATACAGGAAAATAAGATTTCTTGCTTTTTAGGTGGGACTGAGAATATACATTCGTGAGAACCTTTAAGAAAATCTTTAAAATTTCCAACTAGGAGGATTTTTCCACGTAACAAAATCCAAGTCAGCAGATGGACATAATTTTATAGACGTTGCAAACCAGAATCACACAATTAATCCCAACGTTAACGAATACCGCCCGTAATAAAGTTCCAATTGTTTAAACTGTTGGATGATAGTTTTATAAATAAGAAAAAATTGGTATTGTAAATGCAAAAATTTGTTTTTAGATCGAACAGTGTTATATATTTTGAGGGGCCGCCGAGTAGATGGGCAGTGAATTATCGATCGGATCAAGGATGCGTAAAACACGTGCGAGCGGCCTAGAGTTCTGATTGGCCCTGCTTTCCGCCTAGCCCAGCCAGTTAAGTACAGAACGTAAGTCTCAGTCTCTGCAATACGAATCTCTATATTTCAAACATACCAGGTTTATATACCAATCAGACAGACCACAACGTAGCATAAAATAGAAAATAACATTTGTACAAAATTCGGCCAAATGTGGCTGTGAATGTGGGAGGCAGTGACTAATAAACAGTGAATAATTCAAGAATGGTAAAACGTAATAAGAGGAACATGAATATGAATAGTTTAGTCACTTAACAATTATACGATAGTATTGGTCCACTAATGGATTCCAAAATTACCATTCATTATTCTTGTCGGGGGGTTTATCGTCCCCAACAAACAGGTGTTTCTGTAATGATTTTCGGTAAAAGCTTTTAACTAATAAAGGCTAGCAACTTAAAATTTTCTTTCCTTACCAAGCAGTATTTTTAGTGGCAGTATGTTAGCTTATGGATAAAATTGCATACAACCGAACTGTTTTATTTTATCAAAATCCATGAATTATAATTTAATTGACTCACTTTGTTTTGCCGAGACATAATATACTTTTCCGTAAGAGGCGCCAAGGTTCGTGGTACACAGCCCACGATGGGTGATCAAGCAATAAAAATGATAGATCCAATGCATCAGAAAATCTTCCTACGAAATTTATTACAAAAACAACATTATGCTAAGTAATTGGTAGGTAGTATAACACCAAAAAGTAAGATAAAGATTAAGTAAACAATGAACTTTGTAAAATAAAGTATAAAATTATACATAAATTTTCGACTGATAATGATGAAGTACTGAAGTTAAAGAACAGTTCAGTGGTGTAACGAAGACTAATTGTAAATCGCTAACGTAAGAGACAGTTTTATTTAATCTGTTGGAATTGTAGAAGATAAAAAGAGAACGATATAACATCAAATTAAAATAAAACTGCAGTGAATTTTCTTTAAATCGTCCCAATTATAGTAGTCATTTATGATTAATGGTTGTTGGACAGGTAAAGAACGTAATACAAGAACTTGTAGTGTCTGTCATTATGTTAAGCCCAAATACCTCATTATTCTAACTTTTGGACAGCCCATTCTATTCATTCTATTTGAGTCACATTCCAACCTTGTTAATTATTCGCTTATTAATGTCTTGACTGTCTTTGTATGAGCGCGTAGGCGTATGCACACCTCTTATCCCGTTACTCATCACATGTCTGTAATTTATTTTTGTGGGCTTATAAATATTCATTAACTCTTTGTTAAAGGGAGAGTTGGCTTACCAGCCATCTCCACCGCGCGCCAATTTAGCTTCGCTTTCTAATCTTCGCATCGTTCCTCCGTTTGTTTGTCTAATCAACAATTATACGAAATATATGCATTCGAAACTCCATTCTCGTTATTTGACTTATTTAATTCCGTTATTAACTAACGCGATTTAAGTCAATGATTATATACGAGGATAGACGATAGCAACCAATCATTACGATCAAATTGGAGTCAGATCACGGGCCACTAAAAACTACCTACGACCAAAAGTGATCATTAGTTCTATAGGTCAACTTAATTTGCCTAAAACCTCACACTTGTCCTTAGTACTTCTCAAACCCAGGCCCTAGGAAAATCGTAGAAGCTACTAATCTATGAAAATGATCAGGTGTTAGATGTTTCTAATATGGATCGTAAAATTTAATATGCAGAAAGAGAAATCGAGAACATCAACAGGTATACCTAGCACTTAATCTATAGTTATAAAAATAGTTAGCTTGTTACATTGATTGTACAAAAACCATTCACGAATCCAGAAACTTGGCAAATATGTACTTGCTGAATATTAACATGATTGAAAAGAAACTGCGTGCAGTGTTCGTATTTTGCCGACCAAATTTCAGAACCATGTTATTTTCTAACAACACAAACAACATTTTGTTGTAAATTTGCTATAACTGACTACGTATGTTAACAAGTTAAAATGCTCACATGCTCTTAAAAAAGCTCACGACCTTTTATGAAGCTAAATACTGCAAAATCAAAGAACTAACGCATACGTCGGTGTATTTTTCACCTCATCTGATATTTGGAGAAGCAATAGGTGACTGAAATACAACTCAGAAATCAAATATATCATACAGGTAAAAAAAGGTTATGGAAAAACAAAGCTGGTCAGAAATGTTTGTAGTGGAAGATGAGTGGAAGATTACGACTGTTGAAAAACCTTATTATGCATATTTTGGAATATTCACGAGTTAAGCGAATATAAGACAGCAACTAGTCAATTATTTTGGACCGACTATTATCTGCTACATACAATTAAATACACAGCATTAAAGAGATTATTATCATCAAGAAACGTTACTTTGTCGAAAAGTTCCGGACATAAACACACTAAAGAGGTTCATAAATTAGACTTTGAGGCACATTTGCTGTATAAAAATACGTTACTTAAATGGCTAGACTACAGCTCAAAGGTTGTCACGTCAGATCCCAGGATCGTAGAGGTGGTAACAGTATTAGTGGTAATAAGAAAGAATTTAGAATCTCAAAATTTGGGGGAAGACAAAGAATGGATGCACGTGAGCCAACGTAAACGATTTTGATTTGTCATTAAAAACGTCTAACGATTGGTTACGATAATCACGCACACCCCAACCAGATGGTCTACACCTAATAACATGGCTAAGTTCAATTTCCAGTGTCTACATGGTCTGATGCCATTTTTGACTTGTCCGATCAGCCTACATCTACACCAGAAAACAACGCCCATCGAGGTAAACGGTGGTTGAAGATATGTAACACATTTCCCAACCATCTCGGTTGATGAAGATTTACTACCTTATCAATCAACTTAGCTTCTTTGCATGGTACTCTATTACTAAACCAAGCATTGTTTACTTTGCTCCCAAAATACACGAGCAGTGCCTCGTTGAAACCTATAACAGAATACCAGTAATGTACGAATATCCTCTACTCTTAATAGCCATGCTTTACATCCATGAAACAGAAAGGGGAGAACCACTGCTTGGTCAGAAGACGCAAATCTCACCCACACCACAAATGACACTAATATTTTAGATACTATATTAAACTGATTCCTCTGAGATTATTACAAGAGAATTTTTGTCCTTTCTTATAAACTGGGACGATCAGTGATCGAAACCAGTTAGATGGGATTATGTTTAGTTCCCAGATTTTAACTAAGATTTCAATTGGTGAAACACCTAAAACTGGACCACCATTCCAAAAAATCTCAGGTGTTACTCCATTAAACCCTGGTGCTATCCATCACTTAGATTATCAATAACCTCATCAACCTCATTAAAATTTCAAGGACTTACATCAGTTTGCCTTCAGGTTACTTGGAGATAGTAGGTAACTGATGTGCCTCTCAAAGCCATTCCCCTAGTGTTTTGCCAATCGGTTCAATTTCCTGGATCGAGAGTGGATAATAGTCCTGTCTTATTTTCAGATAGTTTCATTAACAACCGGATCCTTAATACACGTTTCTTTGGTAAGTCTGAACAATCGTCTACTGTTACCCATCGTTGTCTTTTTCATCTCTATCTCTTTTCCTACCCACCACTACTCACAATCATTACGTAGGTTTTTTGTCAACCAACGTCTAAGCTGCCTTCGCTCAAAATCATGTTCAGAACGAGATGGGATGATTTTCCAAACATCTATCAGGTCTGTAGACGGAGCTGAAATCCATTGATTTTTCCTAACCTTGTGGTTTAAGTTACTACGGTCAGATGACTTACGTTCAGGGTGATCTAGAGGAAGCAAAAAACCAATACGCTGTCAACTACATATATCGTTTAGAGGTATTCCGAGAACTATCTTAACATCTCATGGAATTTCACAGGAGATTCTATTTTGAATACGAAATAAAAATTTATATTGATTATATAAACATTGTACGTTGCTAGCAAAATATCTTGAATAATATCACAGAGAAAGAACAGATATTTGATCAACTTACCACGTTTTAAACAAGAAATTATAGTTGGTAAATGGCTATGATTTCTCCTTAATAAACTTTTTACTTCTTTTTTCGACATAGATTCATAATTATCAGGCAGGTTCGGAGCTGGTTCAGGTAATGTACGCCTGCTAAATGATATACGATATTCTAAATAGATTTTTGAATTCTTTAAACTTTTGGGCGATTTTTTCTGATGGGAGGTATGTGACTGCGTAGTTTCATCAACAGTAGTATTACCATCACTTAGATCTAAGCTACATGCCGAGGAATCATGACAGTTTTTGGTTATTGGATGAGATGGAGACAAAACTGCTGATGAATGAGTAATGGATACAGGTTGACGTTTATGCCATTCGCATAAATATCTTAAGGTGTTTGGGTTTTCAGGTACTTTTTGAGCATAACTAAGTAGTAAGGCATGCGCACGTGTACATTCATTAAAATATTGCAGTATCTACGAGTACAAAAGGAATTAAACAAGCAATAGTTAGTTCATATTAGATGTGAATTGAAAACAATGAAGATTAGATGGAAATATTGATTGATAAATAGTTATTCAAAACCCTTCAAATATGAACTGAGATATATTCATTTAAATATAAGACAGTAAAAGGAGAATTACTTCAACAAATGCTCTGACAAAGGTGTCGCACAAATGACCCTCAGAAACGAGAGCTTCAACTTCTTGTAATCGATGGTAAGCTTTCTCAGCTAAATTATCGGCTGTCATATGAATATCTTCGGGATCACCTAAAAATAAGATCAAAAGTAACGAAACCAGATTAAATTATACAGTTATAATGGATTGGAAATGGTCAACTTCGTGATGAAGAAGACGGTTATACCTAAAATTCAGTGTAATGGAATGTGTCAAATATTTTACACAGATACTTAATTTACCTGGGTTACAGTAACAGCATATTTAAAATTTTATAAAAATTGTAGTCGGAAATATTATTCCGTCTTAAATCAGAATTGTAAATCGTACTGCACAGTATTTCACCGCTTAAAACTTGAACAAGAAAGAAAACTAACAGTCATTCGTTAACAAAAAATTTAAAAGGTTGAGTAAACCTGATATAATTTGGCTTTCAAATATTTACTGGGAGATAGGTATAAATAAGTTATATTAGTTTTATCCTTGATCTTATTGGTTCTTCTAAACGGACGATAGATAAAGTGTTTCAGAACTTACTAGTTGATACCAATGAATTAATTTGTTTAAGCCACATTCCATAAAAGCTGTAACCTTCATAGAGTCTTTGTAATCGCTGAACATGTGCAAATTCTGGCTCTCTTGTCAAAACTGTATGAAGACTTGCATATTTATTTCGTTGAACGGGCTGCAACAAAAAAAGAAATAACAAGTACTTTTAGAAATATAATGTTTATACTGAAATATTCGTTTATGAAAGCAGTTTCACTCAACAGTGACTAATTTTTTATCGTATAATTTCCTTATTATTCTTTGGTTAATTGGAAGCTGATTTTTTGTTAGTTGATACATCTTTCAAATGTTCGACCATAACCATATCCAGGAAAACAGAGAGGACTGTTTAACAGTACGCCTACTTTTTAATAGGGATTCGGATATCTTGTGAAAACCAGGAAAACAACTGAATTAAGTTTCACGCTTCGATGTTCTGTTGCTGATGAGATTCCATAAACAGGTAAGAGAACAATTTTAGGAAGTTGAAATCAAAGAGTTTGCCCTTTCCAAGCTTTACTTAGGGGTTAGAACTCTGGAAATTTAAGAACTATGTTAATCAAAATGATTTTGTTGTAATTATTCGGTTAATTATTCTGTTAAGACCACTGAAAATATACTGTTAAATATCCAAAGGTCAGCCCATGCTCCGTTTGTTGGTAAAACATTTATGAAATGAATCTTCAAGAACTTTTCAGTTAATTCACTTTCAGCTTCCTATAGAATAATGAACTGCAGTAAAAAATACATTAACGATTTCATTGTCTCATTCTGATTATAGTTGGATAGTGGTTGAGAAGAAAGCGGCTGAAGAGCAGTTGACATATTCTCTAAAATGTTATGTCGATTGTTGCAACCTCTTGCTCATAAAATGCACTACTGACATAATCATTTCGCTAAACATTTATTAATCGGCTTTACCAGTAACACATCCAGTCAAATTGAGATATGATTGACCCATGACAAAAGATACACATATCCAGGTACATTAAATATAATGGATGATTTTTTGTGAATGAATTCCTCTACTGAAATCACTTTTGACTTCTCTACACTTTTTATTAATGTGTACTCCTATAAAAGTCATATAGTTTTCAATCAAACGATCGAATCATGTTCCGAATCACGTGATTTCCACAAAAAACTCAAGCTATATCAACCACGACTATTGTCTATTTTCAATACATTTTCTCGATTTGTTTTTACTATTCACTAACCCAAAAACTCGTATTTGAGTTGCCTTCAGTCTCTAGACTGGCTTTAACCCAGGTCTCCCATACCACATCGGTCAAACGAGATGAAACTGGTAGTTATGTCGATGGTAACGAAAAATATTAAACATTGGAAAGTATGTCTTTAAAAAAGTGATGAATTCGATTAATAAAAGATTTGAAATAAAGTTTCAGTTCAAGGTTTAGGAAAATATAATGAGTGAATGCATCGGTGCCGCTGTACTTGGTAAGTGTCGAATTCCCATAAGTTAACTATTTTCTTCACAAATTGGTTTTTAAAGTTCTCGTATTTAAATCAATCAAAGGTAAACTCCAGGGGATGTGTATATATTTATGCAGAAGCATATTCAGACACGTAAAATCAAAGTATAGCGGCACCGATGCATTCACTCATTATATTTTCCTAAACCTTGAACTGAAACTTTATTTCAAATCTTTTATTAATCGAATTCATCACTTTTTTAAAGACATACTTTCCAATGTTTAATATTTTTCGTTACCATCGACATAACTACCAGTTTCATCTCGTTTGACCGATGTGGTATGGGAGACCTGGGTTAAAGCCAGTCTAGAGACTGAAGGCAACTCAAATACGAGTTTTTGGGTTAGTGAATAGTAAAAACAAATCGAGAAAATGTATTGAAAATAGACAATAGTCGTGGTTGATATAGCTTGAGTTTTTTGTGGAAATCACGTGATTCGGAACATGATTCGATCGTTTGATTGAAAACTATATGACTTTTATAGGAGTACACATTAATAAAAAGTGTAGAGAAGTCAAAAGTGATTTCAGTAGAGGAATTCATTCACAAAAAATCGTCCAGTCTGGTCTTTATGTCTACTGAGATTGACTGAGATACGAACTGAGTCCAAAATGGGTTTTCTAAAGAGACAAATTTCAGCTAATCATCTTCAGGAATAGCTGACATATACATTTATTTTCATACATCACCGAGTTACCGTTGTCTTGTGTGATACTTATGCGGACACATGCACAATATGTATCAGCAAATGACAGCAGGATTATTACTAACAGATAAATAATAAATAAATAAATAACAGAAGACGAAAGTGAGAGTAGTAAGAAAAACAGAAGCAGTCAGAGAAGCAACAGGAATGGATGGACGATGGTGTGTATGAGACAATTCACGGAAGATGTCTAAATGGTGTATTACATGTATTATTTTGATATTTTACAAATACAAAGTAAGTTTACTCTAATCAAACCTTCGTTCATTACACCATCAGTGGTCACCAAGCTTATTCTTCTCAATGGGGTTTTCACTATCCAATCGGGTGGTTGCTAGGCGTTCAAAGTGAAGCTTAGAGTTATCACACTAGTTGTCTGAAATCAAATGTCTAATCTCATTAAGATCGTGTCTATAAAACACCATCTTTATATACAGATCTAGTTCATATTTTTTAGATTCAGAAGTTTATTCTTCCATTTGAAACCGTAGTTTTAAATGTTTAAATGTACGGTTTGTAGAACTGAATAAAAAAGGGAGTGGTTTGTAGCAGACTCGATTTCTCAACACAAATACTATGCAAATGTTGAGATTGTTGGGGTGATAGAATAGCAACGAGAATCAAAAACTACGAAGAGAGTTGATAAAAAAAATAGAATTCCATTTGGACTAAAGTGATCAGGTAGCTGGCAGTTTTAAGATCCCTACATATTAGGCATGATTTATCAGCGTCTTGCCAATGTATGAATAGAAAACATCCACAAAACGAGCAAAAAAGATTAGAATGATATATCAGGGAGGACTGCATAAATGTGAGTAAATGGTAAAAATACACACAGCAAAAAGTGCAACTGATGAATCGAGATTTTTGAAAATGAATTTAATTTGTCAAAATTCCAGTAAAAATAACAGACAGAAACAATGGGTTGCAGTTTTAAATGATTTCCTAAAAGTTCGTAAGAGCTTTCACTGGAAGCATATTAAACAGTAAGATTGTCAGTGGTAACAATCCCAAAGATAAATAGAAATAACTCGAAGTAAGCAATAATGTATCGATTCAAGTTAACATATAGGATAGTAAATAAAAACTAACAAGAAAATTGGTGTGGTTTCATAAAAATCTTTTTCATCTCCCATGAATTCCCATTAATAATGATCAATGGTCACCATAACAATCTCCATCAACAATTTGAGAGGATAATCCCACTGGGGTAACTATATTCTCAGTTGTAGAATAAGATTAGAACTTGCAAAAAATAACCACGACAGGTATTTAACGTACCTGTATATTTGTGCGACAAAACTGTACAGCATTCAAGTTTCCTTTGCTGATCTCATATAATATAAACTCTAATATACGGTTATTTTCATCACTCAGAAGAAACCCATCCAAAACCCTGAAAAAGCAAAGTTACAAATCATTACAAGACACATCAACGGGAAGTAGATTGATTTTGTTTAAGTTCAATGTATACTGTATAGTGTAAAACAAGCTTGTAACACTGTGGGTAACGCCTAAACAAATTTTTCTAAGACGAAAGTCACTCATAATAAATTTAGAAAATATTTTGAATCAAACCTGTTTATGACTGGGTTGTAAAAAACACCGTCTTGCGACGTAAAAATACTGAGATTTTACAGTATATGATAATTATCCTTAGTCGGCACCAACCACATATATACTACATAAAAAGGTACAATTGTTCTACATAAATGTATTACGAACCTTGCTTTCCTTAAGATGGTCCTAGAACTCTTCAGACCAAAAAAATCTTCAAGTCACCTACTTTACATAATGTTTGAAATGCTGTGCATGCAACGCTTTTATATGGTTTAACTTGAAACCATAGTTATATCACTGAAAAATACTCTCACTATTATAATGGGATAAATATCGAGAAAGTTGCGGTCTGCGAAACAATCTTATGAAAAGCTATATCTTAATTGTATAACATCTGGATTATTTAGTCCTTTTGTTCTCTTAATTGTAACCATTTGTTCGGCGTATAAACTATTGTAGTCTATTCTCCCGACGTGGTGGTCGGGCTTGCCTATCGTGATGACCCAACCGAGCTATATTGGCTGGAACACATGTTCCTGCAGGTTCTACCATGCCAGGCAGGTCGATTGGAGAACGGTAAGACTAAAAGCAGCAACTCAAGGTCTGAGGGCGAAGTCGTACTGCTGATTGTACAGAGCTGTGACAGCAGTAAGGTGTTTCCCTCGGACAATCAGCATCTGCAGCGATGCTGCCTTCTCACAAGGAAGGAAGGGGTTAGAAAAGGTTGACCCTAAAAATGTAACACCTCACCTTACCCCACGGATTTCCGTCTCCGGCGGTAAGGCCCTTTGAAGAACGGAGCTAACACATTAAAAACCTCCCACAAAAAGGCCGTGCGCGACCGGCCTCAAGCAGTCGTCCCTTGGGCTCTGCGATCACGCACCCAGGTCGCTAAGACCAACACTAATCCGATTTCCTTTTCAGGTTCCTCAAGAAATACCATTCCACGGTGTGGGCAGCCGGGAAGTGACATCATCCCTGATACCCGTAACAGCACACGAGACCAAGTTGGTCACATTCAAATCCTTCCTACACCTCCTAATAACTCTCTTATCTCCACGACCAACCCTTCTCACGTCCCTTTATCACCTCGCCCCGCTAGTGCAAACGATTCGAGTATGCAGAACGTTATTCCTGGTCTCCTGAAACCACGCTCCAAACTACACGTAGGAGCTTTCAACGTCCGAACACTGTGCCAAATAGGACAACAGGCTTCCTTAGCTAAGACTTTAGAATCTCGCTCCATCGAAGTGTGCAGCGTCTCCGAAACGCGCATACAGGATCCAAGTAGTGTCATCCATTTGACCTCACCATGTCAAAGTAACGAACCAACTCGATTTACGCTTCGTGTATCTGGAAGCCCTGATGCTGCTTCCCGTGGCCTCGCTGGTGTAGGTATAGCATTGAGTCCTAGGGCAGAACTAGCTCTCTTAGACTGGATCCCAGTAGACAGTCGTTTGTGCGCTGTCCGACTAAACGGAACAGTAAGGACTCGAAAAGATAGGGACACTCGTCGTTGCCTCTTCGTCGTCTCTGCCTACTCTCCCACTGACTGCAGTTCAGATGATGTAGAAGATGAGTTTTACAGAAATCTTTCCGACTTTCTTCGAAAAGTTAAGCGTTCAGATGTAGTAATAATGGCTGGGGACTTTAATGCTCAAGTAGGTAAACTCAGTCAGTCAGTCAGCTGCAACGTAGGACCAGGCACGTATATGCATCGGTCCAAGTTGACATACCGCATTAGCACAACAAGTAGGTAAACTAAACGAAAGGGAAAGACACCTGGGTGGATCTTATGGTGTCGCGGCTCAAAGAACAGATAATGGCAACCGTCTGTTGCAGCTATGCTCAGATAACCGCCTGTTTCTTGCAAACACTAACTTTAAGCATAAGGAAAAACATCTTTTAACATGGCGACCCCCTAATTCGTCCCAACGCTGGACCCAAATAGATCACATCGCTATCAGCCACCGATGGAGGGGCTCGATAGTAGACTGTCGCTCATTCTGGAGCACATGCTTAGACTCAGGTCATGCTCTAGTGCGAGCGCGTATTTGTCTACGTCTTACTAGACATAGGAAAGATGGTGCAAGGAAACTCCATAGGGTCCTACTTAATGATACTCAAGCTAAGAGTATATTTCAGGAACAACTAGAAAAACGGTTAGGCAGCCATGTAAGTGATGCCCACCCCGAGGCAGCGTGGAATGACATCCAAAAAGCTGTAGAAACAGCAGTGATGTCCTCAAATACGGTAAACCACAAGGTTAGGGAGAAACACTGGATCTCAGCAGCATCTACCGCACTGATAGATGCTCGAAAACTCATTCCATCTGGCTCTTAACATAACGAAGAACGAAGTCAACTTAAGCGCAAGCTGACAAGAAGCCTACGCAATGATCGTGAACAGTGGTGGGCAGCGAAAGCAAGAGATGGAAAAGGCAGTGGCAATAGACAACAGCAGACTTGTTAAGGAAACCGGTATCAGGAATCCAACTGTTAGCGAAACTATCTCAGAGAAAGATGGACATATTATTCATTTTCAATCCAGGAGATTGGATCGATGTGAAGAACACTTTAGGGATCAGTTCAACTGGCCTTCATCCACACCTCGGTTTTCCACGATCTCCAATCTACCTGAATGGCAAGTTAATGTCAGTCCTCCGACTCTTTACGAAGTTGAAGAAGCTATAGGAAGAGCTTATGGCGAACTGTCATCAGAACTGATTACCTCAAGTGGTGTTCGTCAGGGCTGTCCACTCTCTCCATTCTTGTTTAACTTTGTCGTTGACGTCCTTTTAGAGGTGACACTTTCCTCATCTAAATTTCCAGGAGTTGAACTTCTACCGGGAGATCCACTTGTTGACTTAGAATATGCCATTGACATAGTTCTATTTGGTGAAGACGCTGACAAAATGCAGAGTCTGCTGACCGCTCTAAGCAACAATACAGGCATGTTCGGCATGCGATTTTCTCCGTCGAAATGCAAAATGTTGCTTCAGGATTGGGTTGCACCGCCACCCGAACTAGTGATAGGAAGTGAAGTTGTTGAGCGTGTCGACCGCTTCACTTATCTTGGGAGTCTCATCAGCCCTTGTGGTCTGGTGTGTGACGAAATCTCAGCACGGATACAGAAGGCTCGACTAGCTTTTGCCAACTTGCGTCATTTGTGGTGTAGGCGAGATATCCGTATATCAACCAAAGGACATGTTTACTGGGCAGCAGTTCGTTCCGTCCTACTTTATGGCAGTGAAACATGGCCAGTAAGAGTAGAGGATATTCGTAGGTTACTAGTATTCGACCACAGATGTCTTCGAAACATTGCTCGTATATCCTGGGAACACCGAGTAAGTAACTCAGTTGTTAGGAAACGGGTACTAGGTAAGGATGGCAAATCAATTGATGAAGTAGTGAGACTTAATCAGTTGAGATGGCTCGGACATGTGTTACGCATGCCCGATCACCGACTGCCCCGACGTGAGATGTTTTATGGTGTAGGAGTAGGTTGGAAGAAAGCTAGAGGCGGCCAGACCAAAACATGGCACAAATCCATGAAGTCACTGACAAGTGGACTGAGCCATGTTGGTAGATGTAGACTACTTGGTTGGGGACCGCGAGATTATAGCGACCGATGGTTAGAGACCTTGAATGACATGGCTCAAAATCGTTTGCAATGGCGTAGGTGCATCCACTCTCTGTGTTCTCTCAAACTCTAATCTTCTGAATTCGCCATGTCCTTTATTTTCTTTCCAAATCTATCCCACTGGACTATACTCCTTAAATAACATCATCAAACCCTAATGTTCTCTATCACTACGGGATTTGAATCGATAACTGAATCTCTGTGCTAATGTGGTATGGCAACTCGAAATGATGTACGTACGTACGAAGTTCCACGTTGTTACTGACTGACTGGCTGACTGTTGTCTATTCTACCTTTCTCAAGTTACCGTCAATTTATCCTGAACCTTCCACTTAGCTTCACATCCACAATACTACTGCCCCCATTATAACGGCCTGGTTTCACGGACTCCAATACGATACAATAACGTGATATTTCTGAAGATATAACACTTAGGTAACCTCTAGTAGAGCTGATTCGTTCGTTCAGTTACTCAACTTTCAATAATTGGGTTACAGGTTTGGACATTCATTTGACCAATCATGAGGTAGTGTCATTACATTAAACACGATAGACAACTTGTGAACTTACATAGAGTCACCAGTTTCACAAGGATAGATAGTCGAAATGTTATTATGAGTGCTCGCAGTAAAAAGATTGTAGACATCTACCTCATGATAGATCAATTCGGAGATGGAACTTATAACGTCAATTATTTACAGGCTACCATTTTCAGTCCCAAGTACGGACATTGCATGAGAACATACGGGTATTTTAATTTAAGGAGTAATTCTCAGTCAGTCAGTCAGCTACAACGTAGGATCAGGCAAATATATGCATAGGTCCAAGTTGCCATACCTAATTAGCACGACAAGATCAACAACAAATTCATAGTAGTTAATTCAGTGGTGATAATATATAAAAGAAAGATTGGATATAAGGAGATAGTACAGGAAGAAAGAATTAGTTAGTAGAAAGAAAGATATGAAGTGATTTTAATCTCGTAGTTTAAGGGAAGACAAAGAGTGTATACACTGACGCTGTTGTGATCAATCCTGAACCATGTCATCCAGAGTCTCCAACCATTGGTTACGATAGTCACGCGGACCCCAACCGAGTAGTCTGTATCTACCAACATGGCTCAGACTAGAAGTTAGTGACTTCAATGACTGATGCCACGTTCTGATTTTAGCGCCCCTATCTTTCTTCCAATTATCCTTATCACTGGTTAGCATTGCGCGTCGTGGTAATCGGTGTTCAGGCATACGCAGCACATGGCCCAACCATCTCAGTCTATGGAGATTCATAACCTCATCAACTGATTTACCATCATTCCCTAATACCCTGTGTCTAACCTCACTATTACTTACCCGGTGATCCCAGCAGATACCAGCAATATTTCTAAGGCATCTGTGGTCAAAGACTAGTAGCTTACGAGTATCTTCTACTCTTAATGGCCACGTTTCGCAGCCGTAAAGTAGAACAGAACAAACTGCCGCGCAGTATACTCATCCCTTAATCGATAGACGGATATCTCGCCTTCGCTATAAGTGACGTAAGTTGGCAAAGGCCAAACGAGCTTACTTAATCCGTGCAGAGATTTCGTCAGACACCAACCCATTAGGGATGATCAGACTTCCAAGATAAGTTGTTATATCTGGTATAGCATCTGAACACTGAAAGCTCTACTATATAGCTAAGAGCATAGTTTCAAGAAACAATAGATAACACTTCGTGGACTCGAACCTTAGCAATGATGGTGTACGACGATAAAGCCATACGAGGAAGGCTGATCGTGGAGGCAGGCGAAGCACTAAGAGGTGAGAGGGATTGGATAATGAACAAAATAGTCTCTGGTGCTGTTGGAGGTATGGAGACGGTTGTCACTTCCCGATTCTTTACACCGTAGAAGGATATATTTTCTTCGTGGACTTAAGAAAGAACCTGTGTTAGGGATGGTCATGAATACCTGGGGGCGTAACCCCGGAGGGGTTGACGCCGGTTACACATGGACTCTATATCGAAAGTTTTAAAGGTGTTAGTCACATATTTAAAAGACCTTGCTGTCGCAGACGGAAATCCATGGGTTAAGGTGAGGTGCATTATTTTTAGAGCGAACCTATTCTAACGCCTTCCGTTGTATGAACGCAGCAACGTTGTGGATGCTATCTGAGGAAAACACCTGACTGCTTTTACATCCCTGTCTAGTAATCAATAAGATATCGCCATAAGACAGTGAGTTGCTACTTCTGGAATAACGCTTCTTCAACCGACCTGTCTGGCATGGTAGGACTCAAAAGAATGTGTTTTAGCCAATATAGCTTGATTAAGTCATCCCAATAGGCTAGCTCGACGACCATATTAAGGTGATAGCTGCAGTCAAGACCTTTTTCTAACTGAACCGTTTCGTCTTGACCATAATTCCTTTCGTTCTTTTATTACTTCAAAACTATATTTCCTTATTGTATGGCCTATTTATTTCAGAATGTATGTGTATGAAACAGACAGGATAGTATCAAGCCGTAACTCGGCTCCAAGTTTAGAGGTTAAGCATTTGCCGGTAATTTATTGTATAGATAAGGACACCAAAATGCAGATAAAACATAATACTTTTAAAATAAAACGGATTTTGTGAAAGTACACTTACCTACTAAATGATCTCAACCCAACATCATCTTTCAAACACTGAAATATATGGAATGCCACCTAAACAAATAAGCGATAAAAGTAGAACTAACCCTCCATATCCAGGTCGGTGACATTGGATATGCATGGATCGAGTGAGCTAGTAACCTAGCAGCCTCTTTAAACTTGTGTCTCGACAAAAAGTACCACATAGCACAAATAACGCGAGCTTTCTCGGAATATAGCAGCCTAAAATCCTCTAAAATGAGACGGTGGAAAGTGAACACATATGAGGATAAAGTTTGCTGCAAAACAGAAGTCAAACAAAGCATTAGCCAAGGTTATATCAGAATCTAAAAAGTGAACACAAGACTCATATTGGCATATCTATTAAATGACCTCACAAAAGTATCGACAGGATTAAATTGAAAACGAAATGAATGCATGTGGTTTTAATGACTATGAAATAAAGCTACAAGTCGAGAATGATAATCCAATCCCTTATGAGGGATCACTGACCGATGAACTGATAATTTAAAGAATGTAGTCAATCCATACTTGACACCTTATAGAAAACTGTTGTCATGTGTAAATTTATATTGAATCAAAACTTCTAGGAACTTACCCGCTGTGTTCAGAGTGCAATAAGATTCCTTTCCCAGCCAGCCGTCATAAAATCCATCCCTGCCGAGATTTAAAATAAACTGACAGAATCGACGAAGTCTTAAGAAGTAAAGTTTGTTTCTACCATAAGAGTGGCGTAGATCAGGCATGGTCCCACTTGAACTACTGGGTAAGTGAAGGAATTAGAATTATTAGGCTTTTCGGTATTTTGTTTTTTTTTCACGTGAGGTTACAACACTTGACACCTAATGAAAACAAATCCAATGCAACAAACGAAGAAGTCGAACAACAAAGAAAGGTATTAAAACTGAAAGCGACTTAGAAGTTCCTATTGATTCTAACAAAATGGTATAGTTTAGAAATCCTAAAGTAGGAAACATCATGATTTTGAATTATGACTCTTAATCAGGGACTTGTGTTTCTCAAAATCTATTGAAATCGACAATGAAATAAAAATTTTAATTACACAGATGTGATGGGTCACTGTACAGAATAACTAATTCAGATCCACAATCGTATATTACAAGGGAAAAAGTTACGACTCAGCCGTTAGGTAGGCTTGTGTATGAAAATGAATCAAGTCGATTACGATTATATCGATTCGACACTGTAATTGAGGTAGGGTTCAAAACTGAGACCCAGTTGTTAGGAGATACCATTAGATTTGGTACTTAGTAATTCGTTCACCCTATTTCGAGTTACTGTCAACTTTGATTTTTACTGTTTATTATTATTATTTATTTTAAAACATAGATATTGGTACAAAGAGGTACCAAATACATATGAGCCACACAGATCTCATTTGATATGTGTGAGGGCTGTGATACTGCCTGGGTGCCCAAAACGAAGCAGGTAGTTTTCTTAGGGGGCCACACTCCGAGCCTTCGACCTAAAGGTCTAACCTACAAGGCAGTGGAGCATCGTGAAAAGATGCAGTGCCATGGTACCCGGTGACCAATGATTCGTTCATACGCCATTTGTTCCCGCAGGATACTGGAGCCCACATGCACCATTGGTTTGGGATCCGGTTAAGGCGCCGGACATTCGCTTTTCGTCCTCTCATTTTCGTAAACAACACCCCCGCCACGAGAAGGCAGTGAGTAGGACTTCCCTGGCAGAGGCTATATACGCGTGGCTATGTGAGAGCATCTCGAGAGGGAGAGAGGACTCTCCCCACTCTCGGCCGTACCAGGGCGTTAGCATTTACCACAGTAAAGTACACGCCCATTGACTTGCATCCAATATGATCGGCTATTTTTCAACATTATGTATATATATACCCAAGGATAATAATGTTAGGGGTGTGTGGTCCCCAAATAAAACTTATAGAAAATGAAATCAATACCAACTAAAAATGGATTTAAGGCGATCGCGACGTTAGTTTCCAATATAATTTCTTTACATCGTGAAATTTCGGGGCATTTTACCATGATTTCTGTTTGGTAACAATTACTCAGTTCGCAAACTATAAACATAACCAATTGGCAAACATTTATTTCTACAGGGCTTATCATCAACAAGGCACCCGTTCCAAAAGTGGAGTTCTTACTCAAGTCGGCAGGACAGGGGGTAAAAGTAGTCTCGTTAACTATAAGGATGCTGAATAGTTCTGAGCTGGTAGCGAGGGCTCTAAGGCATACATTAACGTATCCCACAATTATATTTTACGCGTAAGCGGACTTTGACTAGTCTAATATTCTAAGATTTATCGTAAACTGGGAAGCGTAGTTACACAACGACTACCTATTTGACACAAAATGCAATCCCACGGTAGCATCTTAGTAACCATCACATTCGTGTTGAAGTGAATTAAAAACCGGTACAGAAAGAACCTTGCAAAACAAAAAGTTAAAGGTGATAAATTTCTTTTTTTGTCCCTAACAAAGATGCTCGTGTCACATTTCTGGATAAATTCAAGAAAAAATCACTCACACCGCAGATTGGTTATCATAACTTTAAGTGCGAAAATGAATGTGACACAAGATTCACGGCGTTTGGTAACTTCTTGTAGGTTACTTCTCTAGAAAACATATAACTTAAATGAACGATATCCCACTCAACAACGGTAACGTACACACTCAAACTCCCGACTTTAGGCAATATGTAGGTCATTTATTCTCTGAACCAGTGATTTAAACAAAGCCATGTGGGAACAACTAACAAAAGAATCGATAGTAAATTGCTACTGTGCTATGATAAATCACACTAAATCAGGCTGCTGATTTCCTTGAATTGACTTAACGTTTTTTAGTTTGTCCTAACAATACTAATAGAACCACTTTTCTGGTCCAAAAGATCAGTGAATTAGCAGAATTTTCGTCTAAAGATTGAATTCGCTGACAATTTTTGTGGATGGAAACGTTAAGTCAGTGACATCTTCCACAAAGAACTGAATAGTGTCTGTAGTACGGTTTCGACGTCGCAGCAACAAATATATTCATAATAAACACTTTATGATGACTTCTTGAATTTTCGAAGCACATAAAAAAATCACTTGCTTTTAAAATTGGAAGATACAGGGCCGATATTTTGGTTTGCTATTAAACCTCTGTATGTGTGTAATCTTTTCAATTAGTCAGTTGAAGGTGTCACTTCTAGAAGTGCCAAAAGTTGATTACGTGCAGTAAATGATTCCCATCAATAATATTCCTGCAGGTCTTCGACATTTATGCTGACCACATCAGTTTTATTGGACACAACCTATCTGAAGCTGCTCGATCATACATCTGTACCGGGTCACAAGTAGGCACACTGTGCTACCCATCGCTTGTATCCACTAGGCAGCTTAGGCCAAATGCTTCTCAACATATCGACAACCTTCAAAATCTTTGAAATTATTTGTCTATGTTTTATGGTTTGACTGTCGTATGGACGAACGTGCCGGCACCTTCTAAATATCGATGGCCTTTTTAGCTACTTACCTCTGCCTGTTGCCTCTAGAGGTGCATCGACTGCTGACCATAGGTCTCCAAATAGCTCTCTTTTGGGCTTTTCTTTCTCGTTATTACCATGTTCTGTGAACACTTTTAGATCCTAAATGTTCCCTGATTTCATATTTTTTGTACGCTTAATTCTTTTCTTTTCACTTTGAGGAGCACGAGTTAGGGCTTGTCTTGTAATACGGTTTGGTTTTTCCGTAGTGTGTAGCTTCCAAATTCGAGCAGTTTGGAATTACGAATAACTGGTTAAATGCGCGCAATTTCCCGGTCAATACCAAAAAATGTGATTGAATAAAAAAGCTTTTGAACTCTTTCATTGATTTATTGTACACTATTACTTAGACAAAGATTACCATCCAGTTATTCAATCAGTAATAGATTGATCAGTAGCTAAATCTACACTACACAAAGTAGATAAATTAATGTAGGATGTAAGAGAATTAATAAGGACAACAAGTTAATCCTTCTATCAACATGGGGACGTTATTTTTCCCTTTGTCAATAGACCACGTTCACATCGTTCAAAAAATTATATTTAAATTTGTTACAACACAGCGCTTCCATTTCTGGAGGGGTGTTTCAATGCATCTGAAAAGGAAAATAAAAAGGAGAGAAAATCAGTATGGCGGTAGCCATAACCAAATGCCAACTAAAATAATTTACATGTAGTTCGGGAAAAACATGGGAATTTAGGAAAATGTAAGAAAAGCAAAAACTAAAACACAACACAAATAGTGCAGGATGTACATCTGAAGGAATCAAGAATAATAAATCATTTTGACGGAATTTTGTTCTTTGGGCTGGATGATTTAGTCATGGAGCTTTCATCGTACTTCTGGACGACATCATCAGCACAAAATTCAGGTACCTGAACTAAATGAAACAGCTGCATAAAATATTTTGTTTTCATTACTTGGAAGTGTAAATTGATTCTGGAAAACTGTTTATCTGATATAAGTGAAAAATTTCAACCTTTACATAGTTGTTAAAAATTTACAGAGGTTCAATCTGTGGACGTTAACATGGGAGATACAACTAAAACAAAGAAGTAAACAATGACAAGGTTAAAGGTCAAGAAAACCAATCAACTATAGTGTGGTGTCGAGTTGAGCTTGACTATGAACACCGCTACCAGACTACGTGCCAATAGACCAATAAAATTCCGGTAGGCCAAAAAATCAGAAGGCAGATGATAATGGTAGTTGTAATATATTTGTTGGCAATCTCGTGGTATCGAACGAATACCGAGATCGTGCCAAAGGAGTACAGGTGCGATCGGCAAGAAGAAGATACGTGTGTAGTCGAAAACCGCGTAGAAGCAATGGAGTACAATGGAAGACTAAAAATGGCTGTTATTAGCACAGTTAAACAAACGAGCACAATAAAACAATCACTGGTACAATTGGTTATAATAATAATTGTTTTCATCGAACCAATCGCGTTCTGTTAACAAAAGTAGGTCACTACAGGAGCCCCCCGCTAGAAAGGGTTTACACTTTCGATAGTTAGCGGTTTGATTCGTGGGACTGATCGGCAGATGTGCGGTCGTAGGACGAAGGAAATTGGCGGAACAGGAAGTGATCGTTGATCCTCGAGTTGCCAACGAAGGTCTTTTGCGCAGAACGGTACCAGAAGTGTGCTGTATTTGTTGGTCGAATTAGCATACCACACCAGAATGGTTTGTATCCAGAATCTGATGATTGCGTTCGTAGGGATGTGAACCAGAAAACGCTGCAGACGTAGGACGAAACCACGTTGAGCCAAGAAACCGGAAGCGACCATAACGACCAAGCGTATGCCAGGCGAATTCGAAACCAGATAATCGACTGAGTGCGTTGACTAGAGCATGGGTGGCCAAACCAGCTTTTGCCAAAGTTGACTGAAGTCGACGTTATCAAACGGGCGATGGTCGGAGGCGTGGGCTCAGGATACAGAAAAAAAATCAAAAAAAGAAAAGTGTAGCATGCGTGTAGTATAGGAATAATCCTACACCGTATCCGTTATTGACTGTGCGGTTAGTCGCGAAAGCGTACGGGTAATCGTACTCGGCGACCGGAACGTGAGACGGTAGTCTCGTTCGTGCTTCGTGAGCCTGCGATCTCATCTGAGGTCAAGGGCGGCGTGGTCTGCCGATCTGGACGTGAGACGGAAGTCTCGTCCGTAGATGGTGCAGATGACGCGTGCTGTTGACTGGGACGTGAGAACGAGGTCTCTGATGTATCTAGCGTGGGATCCGAGGTAGACGTAGAGATCCCGCTAGAAGGTTTGATAGGTCTAGCATTGAGTCTCAAGTTATCGGGTAGGGCACTGTCATCGACGTGTGCTGGTTTGAGACGATCAATGCTGACGATCTCGACGCGGCCGTGTCGATCAACCTTGAAGGTCTTTTCGTGACGAGAGATCACGTGAAAAGGGCCTTCGTAAGGCTGTTACAATGGTTTGCGTACCGAATCTACTCGTATGAATACATGTGAACAGGTAGATAACACTCGAGGGAGAGCGACCTGTCGATGTTGTATTCGAGTTGACACCGGAGACAGCGTTCGCATAAATGCAGACAGTCGATGGACGTAGTCTGATTTACCAAAATCATTACTGCTCCGTGGTGTGAAGAATTCCCCAGGCAGACGCAATGTCGTGCCGTATACAAGTTCAGCGGCGGAACACTGAATATCTGCCTTCAAACTCGTTCTGATGCCTAAGAGAACGAGCGGTAAGGTTTCGTACCAATTGTCATTTTCGTGTGCTCGGAGAGCACTTTTAAGTTGGCGATGAAACCGTTCGACTAAACCATTCGATGCTGGATGGTAGGCGGTAGTGCGTATGCGTTCCGTACCAAGCAGCCGGGTCAGTGAGGAGAATAATGCGGACTCAAATTGTTGTCCTCGGTCAGTCGTGACAGTCGAGGGACAACCGTACAATGCTATCCATCGTTCTACGAAGCGGTGAGCAATTGTCTCCGCCGTGATAGACGTGATGGGAATAGCTTCGGGCCATCTTGTAAAACGGTCGAGGCACGTGAGTATGTGATCATACCCATGCGATGGTGGCAATGGTCCTACAATGTCTATATGAACGTGATCAAAGCGAGCATCAGGCGTAGCGAACGTGCCAATGGGGACATCTACGTGCCTGTGCACTTTTGATCGTTGACACTGTAAGCATTGCTTTACCCACATACGGACATCTTTATTCATGGACGGCCAGACGTATCGTGCAGCGATGAGACGTAATGTAGCTGCGATACCTGGATGAGACAATCCATGAGGGGCATCGAAGTCGAGACGGCGATAGGCAGAGGGTACGATGGGTCGAGGAAGGCCGGTAGAAATATCACATAGGATAGTACCTGAGCTAGTAGCTAGGGGTACTTCCTGACACTGAAGGGACGAAGATTGTGGTGCTTCTGTACAGACAGGATCGTTTGCTTGCGCGGCGGCCATAGCAGGAAGATCGAGCACCGGTAAAGTAACTGCATTCGTCTGGATACGTGAAAGAGCATCGGCAACATAGTTCGACTCGCCTTTAATGTGACGAAGGTCTGTCGTGAACTGGGAGATATAGTCCAAATGTCTGCACTCTCGTGGTGAGTAGCGGTCAGACTTGGTATGCAGGGCATACGTTAAGGGCTTATGGTCGGTGAATAAGATGAATTGACGTCCTTCTACTGCGTGCCGGAAATGTTTGATGGCACAGTAGGCTGCAAGCAGCTCGCGACCAAAAGCGCTATATCTCGTCTCCGTGGGAGTAAGGCGTCGTGAGAAAAATTCGAGCGGTTGCCAACTACCGGAGATATTCTGTTACATAACGGCTCCTATGGCAAAATCCGATGCATCAACCGCTATACTAAGCGTGGCTGATGGGTCAGGATGAGCGAGGAGTGTAACTTCGGCGACAGCCGTTTTGATCTCTGAGAATGCAGTACGTGCGGTATCGTTCAATTCTAATTTGCGTGGATTACCGCGTAGTAAATCGGTTGATGGTCGTAACCGTTCTGCCGCGTGAAGGATGAAACGTCGGTAGAAGTTAACCAAACTGAGAAAAGCCTTCAGTTCCTTGAGTGAGGACGGCACGTTGTACTCCTTGATTGCTCGAATTTTGTCCTCGCAAGGCAGAATACCCTCTTGTCTGATGATGTGACCCAGAAATATTATTTCTCATTTATCCAATTCATACTTG